TCAAGTAAAAATGTGTAAGTAATTTTTCCAGCTGAACCAATTCCTTGCGCTAAACTTGATACGACATCTTTGATTTTATATTTTCCTTTGCCATAAGACCTTTTGTCTAAACCTTTTTTAATATCTGGTATTGTATCGTAATATTTTTTTAGAAGCATGCATTAAGTCAGCGCGTAAAAGATCATCAACATCTTGCACCTTTTTCGAACGAGTCAGTTTTCGTTCAAAATCTTGAACAGTTGTCCACGATTGCAAGCATTCAGTATTAGTTTTAATAGGAGCTTTATTTAATAATTCTTTTATTTTCCCTGAAGTATTTCTTAATGTTAATGCAAATTCATTTTTTGTATGTTTACAAAATTCATAAATTTGTTTTAAATATTCTTCAACACAAACAATAAGTATACGTTTGATTTCTTCATCTGAAAAACATTTCCTATGGCAAACTAAATTAAGCGAGGCTAATAAACATTTAACATCCCATGTAAATGTACCGACATAACCTTCGTCAAAGTCGTTAACATCAAAATTCAGAATACCATGATTATCCATATATGTTCCAAAATTTTCTGCATGTAAATCACCCTAAAAGAAATAAAAGAAAAACAAGATTTTATTATAATTGTTCGATATTAATTATTTACATGAATAAAAATTTGTCCAGCTGCAGTATTTCTTGCAATAAATTGATCTTGATCAGAGATGGGCAAGTCAGCGATTTTTTTGACTTAAGTCAAGTCAAGTCGTTTGACACAAGTCTCAAGTCAGGTTAGGTACAGTCATAAGTCATCAATGTGAAGTACACAAGTTCAAGTGCAGTCATTCAAGTCTTGCTCTAATCAAGTCAAGTCAAGTATCAAGTCATAAGTCATTGACTTGAATTTTGAAGTCTCACAATTTAATCATGTATCAATTTATTGAACAAAAAATTTACACTAATCCCTGATTATATTTTAACATTGTTAACATTTGTAATGTCTTTCTTGACATCTTGGCCCGATGTTGTCGAAATATAAAGCCACTTTGGGAGAAAATTCTTTCCACAGCTGTTGACGTTGCGGGAATTGTCAAAACCTTCCTTGCCATTAAATCACTCATATTCAATTACACAAATTATAATCCTTTTAGCTAGTTTAACATAATAGCTCTTGTATGAATTACATTCACTCTTACAATTACTTATATACCTGCTGACAGCGCTGGTGCTGCTACATATTTTCTTTTTGGACGACCAACAAGACCAGACTAGACGATTAAAAAATGGATTAAGAAACGTCATTGAGGTTTCTACTCCACGTAGAAGCCTCAATAGCATTTATTTTATTTTTAATTCGTCTAGTCCGTTTGGGGCCTTATTTTATACGTACAATTCATAGATAACCTGACCTGACGAGAAAATCAACTTTTCTATACGGCAGCTATGAGAAATAAAACAGAATTCTTATAT